TGGCCAACATGGGCAAGGCAAAATAGGTTAGGAGCCATGCACAGAAGAATTTACATTTCTACCTGAAATTAGAGTAGACTTCTCTAGTGAGAAGAATGAGATTTATCATTTTTTCGTTTGAAAGGAGTACTCCTAAGGATTTAGACATTGACATGTACTAATTGTCTTTTTTTTTTTCCATTCAGTCTAAGATTTTCCTGCTTCTTGGTTTGTCAAGTAATTTTTTTATTGAAACGTAGATATTTTTGTATTATGTGATGTGACTAAATGTTATTGACACTTTTGTTTAAACTGGCTTTGTCTGACATCTCTCCAGCATATGGAGCAAGGGGTGCTACCTCATTACTGCCAGGTGGAGGGAAAATTCCAGATTCCTCACTTGTCCTCTGTTGATACCTCTTGGTAGAAATGGGGGTGGTGGTAACTCCTGGTTATTGTTGGGCACAGTGAGATTTTCAGATCCCCACGTGGTCTCCACTGACACCACAGTGGGTGGGAATGGTGTTTCCCCAGGGCAGTGGCTGGATACTACCCCAATATTGGGTGAAAGGAGGAAGAGAGATACCTTGTTACTGCCAAGTATGGTTGGAAGTCCAAGTTCTCCTTTCGAGGTTCATGAGGGTAGCAGTCTAGTCTCTCCATTCAGCCTTTGCTGGCCTGCATGGTCTGAGTTTCTTCTGTGGTGAGCAGTAGAGCAGTTATTGTTTGAAAGTTTTCTGTCTTGCTAGGCTATTCCTTTCCTGCTCCTTTGGCTTTTTGAGGCCTTTTAGTCTAAGACCATTGGTGACTGCTTGAACGACAAGTCTGGTGTACTAGTACATGAAGAAAGAACGAAAATCCAGGAATCTCACTTCCATGTTGTTTCTTGGGTCCTGAGGTCCCAGGCTGGTCTACTTCCTTTTCACCTTGCAGAGTCTTCTTATGTTGGTTTTATATATGACACTCGGGGTTTTTTACCTGTATTTAGCAGGAGGAATAGGAAAAAAATGAATCTGCTCCATCTTCCTGCAAGCAGAAGTCCTTGCCATTTTATTTTTCTTTTATTGTTTTGTTTTTCTCAATATTTTGTTATGAAATGTTCTGAAAATGATACAACTGTACAGTTAACCAACACCTATCCACCACTTAGATTCAACTCTTAACATTTTGCTGATTTTACTTTATTGTGTACAGGGTGGGGCAAAAGTAGGTTTATAATTGTTCATATGAAAAATGATACAATAATCCTATATAATAAAGAGGTGATGTGCAAATTAACCCTCGCACCCTCATAAGATGGCTGCCTATGACCAGGTCTGCAGGGGGGTTAGTGAGGGACGACCAAATGACTGAACAAGCAGGCTGCATGGGGTGACCAGGTCGGCAGGGGGGTTAGTGAAGGACAACCAAACGACTGAACAGGCAGGCTGCATGGGGAGACCAGGTCTGCAGAGGGGTTAGTGAGGGACGAGCAAACGATGGAACAAGCAGG